ATGAGCGATCCAAGATTGGTTGTCACTTACCTGTAAGGCGAGACGGCGGAGTCCGGTGGTGAAGGAAGACGGCGGCCATAGCCGCGGAGCATTGACACAGAGTACCGAAGGAGAGAGAAAGGGAGGACAGCGAAGGAGGAGGAGGAGAAGACGGCCGCCATTTTGCAGGAGAAGAAGGAGAAGAAGGAGGCCAAGAAGAAGGCCTTGAAGGAGGAGCAGGCGGCCAAATTGAAGAAGATAGAAGAAGAGATGGCCAGAGAAAAGGAGAGAATAAAGAAGGAAGAGGAAGAGAAGTTGAAAGAGGTAGAAGAGGAGGAGGARGATGAAACACCATTGCAGAGGAAGAGGGTGCAGTACAGTGGTAGTAGGGATGAAGAGATGGAGAAGCGAATCTCCGAGTGGGTAGCCAACTTGTCCCTGGGCGAAGAAGAAGAGGTGGCGATGTACATCTCCAAGGATGACCAAGAAGCCGCTATGAGGGCCTGGGAAGCAGAAAAGGATGTTGTGAAGCAGCAGGCATTGGAAGACGAAAAGAGGATGGAGTGGAAGTTGGCAGTGATGAGGGAGAAGAAGAGGAGAGTGGACGCGGCAGCGGAGGCGGCAGAAGAATTAGAGGAAGTAAAGAATATAGAAGAGCAACTGGCCGCCCAGACCGAACTCCCAGCTCAAATGCGAGTCATAGCCCGAAATGTTGCACGCCTGGCACGAATTCAGGCGGAGCAATATGATTTTAGTAGGAGTCAACACATAGYTGTGCGTTCCATAAAGTTGGGGTTTCGGGACKTTGCGYGTGAGCTGGTAGGCGCTATAGGGACCGAGGTGGGYCACCGCCTCGACAAGACTGAGCGGTTCTGTGCTGGCGCCATTGAGGGCGTYAAAGCGGCARCTCCCAAGGAGGAGGARGCACGTCCTCCTCGTCGGGAWCCGGTCAAAGTYAAATTCCCTGATTCCTACAGTGGAAMAAGGGAAGAGAACTTCGACAATTGGGAGGCCAATGTCAAGACCTATGTGCATCTGCAACAKGTCTCCCCGGATCAGCAGGTTCTGATTGCGATTCACGCGCTCAGAGATGAAGCCGCCAGCTTTGCAAGGTCCCTAGTTTGCGCTGCCAATTGCAGCGATGATCCCGTTGCGTACTCCTCGTTCACTTCCCTCACTGAGTTCTTGAAGCTGTTGCGCGAGAGGTTCGCTGATGTCGCCCGTAGCGTTAAAGCCTCAGACAGGCTGCAGACGATCCACGCTCGTAAGCGGAAGAGCGCCAGGGCACTTAAGAGTACAATGGACGAACTGGTAGTTGTCCCTGACCACAGGGTTACAGACACCCAGTTGGTTGGCCTCTTTTATCGGGCTATACCCGAAGCCCTTCAAGGGCATTTCTTCGCAAAGAGCGAAGACCCTGCCACTACATACGATTCCCTTAGTCGCGAAGTAGTGGCTTTTGAAGCCAAGTCTGCGTCTGTGTCCACTTTCTGGCACAAGGACTTGGACAAGGGTAAGCAATGGAAGGGCCGCACTATCTCTGGGCAAGTAAAGACTAAGGATAACCTTGTTCTAACTCTAGACGAGGGTAGTGTGGATGAGATCCCCTACGACCAGATTGAGTGGGGGTTAGAGGAGGATGACAGCGGTGTGGGCCAGGGAAGGACTTACGCTGCTGTCGCGGCGGGGGGGAGGCCGCAAGGAGGACGAGGCCAGGGCCAAGGGGGCCGGGCCTCAGGGAGCCGGTTTCAGGGCGATCAGGGGGKTGGCGGTAGAGGAGGAAACCGCCAAGCGGGAGGCAGGGGTCAAGGTCCCCCGCAAAACCGTCCTAGGAATAGGTCTCCCTATAGAGTAGGAGGATGGCACCCGAGGCTACCGCAGGGTAGGCCTTGGGAATCTTTGGGTCTGGACCAGGCTTTATGGCAACAACGATTGGACCGGGGCCAGTGCATTTTTTGCGGTGACCCGGGCCACATCATCAAATATTGTCCTAAGTACAGAGAGACCCGAACGGCTGCCCAAGGGCCAAAAGGCAGCCGCCGGTAGGGGTAGCAACTGCCCCTACCACTAGGCCATGTGGGGAATATAGCGCTAGCCGGCAGGAGACTCCCACACCACATGTGCCTATGGCAGAGGTTGCAGGCCGGTGTCTAGATGGTTGTCCAGAGACTACTTGTGTTAGAGTCTCTCTAGACACCTCCTTCACAGGCGTGGCCGAAGAGTTGAAGGAGAGGATGCCCGCCTGGGCCAAGATGAAGAAAAAACAGAAAGGGCAGCTAATTCTGGTAGATGTAGAGATTTTTAGA